CGTTTTTTTTGTACCTATAGGTATACCTACTCTAAAACAATCTGACTAAAAATAAAAAAAACAATTTAATTCGATTTATTTGTCACGTGACGTTTTAAAAAACCCTCCCCCTTGTGCGTGACAAATCGTGACGGTCCTGTAAAACCCCCTTCTCCTTCCAGTGTTACGAGATTTATGGACGGCCCTCACGGATGTCAATAAATACATACCTATTAAAGCCTCATTCAGAACCTCGTAATTAGTGGAAAAAATTAGTGGTTTCAATTATACTTATAATTAACACAAAACGATCATTCACAATGCGCAAAATTAACATTTAAAATTAAGGGAATTTGCTAAATGATTGTCCATTTTTCTTAACCTGACATAAACAATATTAATTATATTAAAATAATATTTTTTACAACCAATACAATAATATTTATATAACCTTACCTTCACTGGCAAATTTTTTTTTTTTTTTAGGTTTATTGACTTTTAATCTTTTAGACTATTTAGGTATTCTGAGCAATCAATGCAAAACGCTCTAAATGCAATTAGAGAAGATAAAGTTCCTGTTGCAACTGCTTGCAAGACTTTCAATGTCCCCAGAAGCTCCGTTCGTCATCGGTTAGCTGGGAAAACCCCCGACAATTGCCGCCGGGTTGGTCCTTTAAGCACCCTAGGAGAAGAAGTGGAAAAAAAATTAGTTGATTGGATCCTTGATATGGCCGCCAGGGGTTTCCCAATGACCAGAGAGGGTTTACAATACTCCGTTGTGAAACTAGTACAAGAGCTGAACCTAAGCACGAAATTTATCAATAATACACCAGGAAGAAAATGGTTCCAGTCTTTCCTTAAACGTCACCCAACAATCAGTAAGAGACACGCGGAGTTCATTAATAAAGGAAGAGCAGCAGCATCGGAAACGAGTATCAGGCGTTGGTTTTCGGATGTGAAAAATTTATTAGGTCAAGACGTCGAAGTACTGAATCATCCTATGCGAATTTTCAATATGGATGAGACCGCCATATTTTTAAGTCCCAAAGGTTCTCTGGTACTTGGTGAAAAGGGAAAAGATTTGTACGACATTAGTTCTTCAGAAAAAGACAATGTCACTACACTAATTGCTGCCAATGCCGCCGGTCTGATTGCGCCTCCATTAACTATATTTAAATTTAATCGATTACCAAAAATATATGCCACTAGCGCTCCAAAGGATTGGGGCATTGGTATTTCAGATAGCGGTTGGATGCAATGTAAGCAATTTTTCGAATATTTCGCCAACATATTTATTAATTTTCTGAGCGAAAATAATATTAATAGACCTGTCGTAGTGTTTATGGATGGCCACGCCTCACATTTATCCTTGCATCTGAGCAACTTATGTCGTTCAAATGGAATCATCCTAATTTGTTTGCCTCCGAATACTACTCACATTATGCAGCCCCTAGATGTTGCCTTTTTTTCCCCTTAAAACAGGCCTGGAAACATGTCGCTCGAAAATGGCGTTTAGACCACAATGGCGAGAACGTTCAGAAAAAGGACATTCCCACGGCATTAAATACCATATTGACTGAGAAAGATTTCTCTGAAACCCTCATTTCTGGATTTCGCACTTGCGGTTTATTTCCATTTAATGAAAATGCACCCCACTATGAGAAATGCATTAAGAGAGGTACCAATGTTAGATGTGAAGAAACTGTCGCAGAGACTTCAGAAAACGAATTAAAGTTTCTGAACGCTTTGGAAATGCGCATAGATCCAGTAACATTGGCCAATTTCCAATCAACGTTCAACAACCATTTATACTGGTCTGGAGAAGAACGATGCCAGGAATTATACAATTTATGGAAAACAACTACTGAAAAGGTTCGTGGTGTCATTATTCCATCGGTTCCCGCAACTAATTCGGAATACGTAACTGATGTTAATGATATTCTGATCTTTGACTTCCCGGAATTACTTGCCAATGAAGAACACGAAGCAGAAATTTATTTCAATAAAACTGACTTCGAGACACCTAAGATAAATATCCTTCAAGATATAGTCATATGCCCTAAGAAAGATAGCGGCCCTCTCAAATCTGACGATGAAACTCCTGTAACATTTGACGATGATTTAAGCAATAGTATAGACCAATGCGAAAGCACATTTGTTGAGGAAGGACAAGGGGATTCTTCAGACAAGAGCCTACCGAAACATGACTCTGAAGTTAAATTAAGCGAGGAAATTGTAGATAATGACAAAGCGACAAGACATTTTCAGAAAAGAACTGTAAGTCAAGTCTTAAAAGAAGTGGTTATATTTCCTGAACAGGAAGAGTCTGTAAAAAGAAATAAAAATAAGAACCCTTTGCCAGCTGTGGTCACATCGGATAAATGGATTGAAATAATGACGGCGAAAGACAATGAAAAGTTGGCAAAGGAAACGACTATTAAGAATAAAAGATTACAGAAGCAGTTAAAGAGTTCAGAAAAGAAAAAATGTAATAAAACGCAGATGAAAAATAGTAACCAAGCAGAGGAGGAAAAGGAAAATCTGGGGCATGAAGATGTAAGCAATGAAGTTGATGTGCTGGTAAACAACAGCAATGAAGAGATTGGAATAGGGAATTACGTAATTGTAAGGTATGATAAAGAATATTATCCTGCTAAAGTTGTCAATCAAAGAGAAAATGAGTATTATTGCTGTGCTATGTCAAAAAGTGGTGCAAATAGATGGAAATGGCCAGATAAAAATGATTTGTTGTGGTACCCAGCAGATGATGTTTTATTGAAGATTAAGGAACCGAAACTCATTAATACAAGAGGTGTTTTTTCGGTGCCAAAAATGAGAGACTTTATGAATGACAATTAGGTAGGTAATTTGTATACCCGGATAGTTAAGACTAGAAATGTGCTTAAGTTTTGTTAGTACCTATGTAAGTACATGAGAATTATATTTTTTATTAATAAACATTTTAATACCTATAATAAACATTTCAATACCTATACCTATAATAAACATTTTAATACCTATACACAAATTGTTAAGTGGCCACAACTGGTGAAATCCGTGACCACAACCGGTACAAAGGTGGTCACAACTGGTGAAATGAACGCTTTTCGCTCTTGTTTAATTTTTTGATACGTTAGATATTTCCTACCTTATTTAGCTCATAAGCTTTCGGTTCAGGAACCTGTCGCGTTTCTTGTTGTGTATCTGACGTGTTAAAACAGATATATATGCGAAAGTTATGTTTAATTGAAATTCAAAAGTTGCTTAATGTGGCCACAACCGGTACATTTACCCGTAAATGTACCGGTTGTGGCCATCGTACCTGTTGTGGCCACTTGCGGTTTTAATCCGATTTATGTTCTTCCAGAAAGCATATAGCAAAACGGTTTTTAAATTTCCCGGGTCCAAGATACACCTAGCGCCAACTGCGCCAGTGTCATTGCTTAAATAGTGTCTGCAGAGTTTAAGCGGTTAGTTATTTTGATTGGTCTACGTAGAAAACACGGTTTTGTTAAGAGATGTGTTAAGGAAGGCAAGGTAAATTTTATTTTTTTTCTTACTTATTTTGCAATAAATTTAAGAAAAACTGGCTACAGTTTGTTCAAAATTGTTTAAGGAACATCATTTTACTAGTTATTTGTACGTTTATAACCTGTTAGTGAATATTAATTGAATGGCCACAAATGGAACAACAAATTACTTAAAATCTAGATGTGGCCACCCTATGGAACGTTTATGGTACGTTTATAACCTGTTAGTGAATATTAATTGAATGGCCACAAATGGAACAACAAATTACTTAAAATCTAGATGTGGCCACCCTATGGCCACAAATAGAACACGAAACCCCATTTGTGGCCATCTGTCAGTAAAGGATGGAAATAGCAATTTCTAAATAGCCTATGTGTATTTATTTTCTCTTTTAGATGTCCAAGAATTCCCGAAAATTATTTCAGTAGGCTATAGCCAGCTCATTATTTTATATTTTTATGCTTCGAAAAACAAGCACAACACCCAAGGCTGTGACCGGGAATCGAACCCGGTACCGTGGCGCAGATTGATTACGGCTCTGTAGCTTTAACCTTATGTCACTGGCAAATCTTCAAACTTTTTGGTTTTGACATAAAATAACCGCGCACAATGTGTCATGCGCAAAGCCGCTTTCCGATTATAATTAGTGGTAAAAGTTAGAAGTTTGCAAACTTTTTCCACTAATTGAAAAGTACTACCACCACAGACCTACCACTAATTATTTGGTTGTGAACAACACTGTGTATATTATAAGACAAACTTTTACGTTAATTGCAATTCATGAAACCACTAATTACGAGGTTCTGAATGAGGCTTAAGTTCTATAAATAAACTCCTTATTAAAACTATATTGCGTATGCCATGCAATCTTGGTTGCATATCAAATTTCTCTAAACAAGGTAAAAAATTTACATCCGGCAACATTGCTTTAAATGTGACATTTCATGTCAAAAAATATATTTAATGGTTTCAAAAACTACTGAAAAATCCGCAATTTTTATTTGAGATATTGAATATTTAAAGCACCCTTTTATTAATGGTTTCAATACAGAGGGTGTATGTATCTTGGTTTCATTAAAAATTAGAAATTCAGAGTGAGTTAAAGTTGACCGCCCCCTGTAATTGTATTTTACATAGAGCTTCATAATATTTTAACAAAAACACACAAGACAAACTTTTTGTCGCAATTCATGGATTGTGCTTGTTGACAATAATATTTAGGTTCAGCTTTTTTAACAACTCTCTTTTATACACTGTTGATAAGGTCACCTTATTAAGGTATTAATTATTAATCGTTGTTAATACGTCCATGCGTTTATCTCTGGTCCATGCATAGAAATAATAATTATTATTTTTATGATTATTTCTATGCGTCTATCGATGAGTTAGTACCTTTTAGGGGAATTTGGCACTTCTTGTGGCAATGTTTCAAACATTATGTTTGCCAAACATTTTTTTCCTGTCCACTGGTAACACTGATTTGAACCAATGCAAATTCGAAAACTGTCAAATTATTCTTGTTTACTTGTAGTTTTTAAATTAATTGCAGTTTATTACGTTTCCCTCAAGATTAATTAACAACAATTACGAAAAATGGCAACTTTGGAGGACAAAATTTTAGGAGAAAAGCTTCACAATTATTGTAGCAGTAGCGAAGAAAGTGATAATGAGAATTCAGACTCCGAAGAGAATAACAAAAAGGCCCCACAGCCGGAAAGTGCTCCTCTTCCTGAACCAAACAAATGGGAGGGTACTTCTACAAATACTGGACCAAAAGGTAAATAATAACAGCATTTTTTTAGGTCATGTTTAAAATGTTTATTGCATTATCTGTGGCTTAGCTATTACTAAAACATTTGTAAACGGTTACTTTTTAGGAGTAATTAAGGATTGGCAGAGATATAAACAACTTGAAAACGAAAAAAGAAAGGAAGATGAAAAAGAAAAAATTGAACTAATGAAAAAACTCACTTTGACTGTACAATCTGCCCTGGATGAAGAACGAGAGAAAGCAGCCTTAGAGGATCCAGATTTAGCAGAATTATTGAATGATGAATTTTTAGTGGACTACCAAAAGCAAAGAATGAAGGAAATGCTACAGCAAACCAATCACAATATTAAATTTGGTAATTATATATTAATTAAGTTCCAATTGATTATAATATTTATCCATCTTTGATTTAACTTAGGTAAACTGATAATGTTAAAAGATGGCCAGGAATTTTTGAACGCAATTGATAGAGAACACCAATCAGTAACAGTCATTGTTCACATCTACGAAGACAATGTAGAGGCTTGTCGAGCCATGAACTCCTGTCTGGTCAGCCTAAGCAAACTTTATGACAATGTCAAATTCTGTTGCATTGTGGGCTCCTGTGCTGGCATGAGCAAAAAATTCAAAGCAGGCGGTGTTCCCGCTCTTCTAGTTTACAAGGCAGGAAACTTGGTGGGAAACTTTATTAAATTATCCAACGATTTGGGTAATGATTTTGCTTCGGAAGATGTACAAGGGTTTTTGGTGGAACATGGAATGCTCGAAGATAAAAGCTGTACTCCTTTGCTCATCAGAAGTTCAGCCAATGATAGCGACAGTGACTAGGTTAAATAATAATGTAAGTATTATACTGGTGCTCTCCTTTGAAGTGTTCATGTACTATGCTCCATATAAAAAAAAATCATTTCAAACAAATAATTGAGGTTATGTATTAACGCCAATTTCATTCAATTTTCTTAAATTAGATATACAATATACACTGCCCGTCAAAATTAACGCATAATAAGAAAAAAACTCTAAAACGCCTTTACCAATCTTTTTAAAATTTTGGATAAAAATACTTTAACTTATATCTCAGTTTACGTGTTCAAGGGTTTTTCAAGAAAATATTTGTATAGCCCTTTTATTTAATAATAAAAAAACTCTAAAAAAATAAAAAATATGCTGTGAAATACCGTATTTTTGAAAGTATACCCTGAAAATTTTGTTCAAATCAAACGAACAGTAACGAAAATACAGCGCTTTAAAGTCGTCAAAAATGACCACTTTTCAGCAAAATAATCAAAAAGGGGTCAATTTTACCGACTTTAAAGCGCTGTATTTTCGTTACTGTTGGTTTGATTTGTACAAAATTTTCAGGGTATACTAACAAAAATACGGTCTTTAATAGCATATTTTTTATTTAGTTAAAAAAAATCCCTAAAGGCGTTTTAGAGTTAGAATTTTTTTACTTATTATCGTTAATTTTGACTCGCAGTGTATAATTTTTTGTGTATAAAGGTCTTAATTTATAACACAAAAACTATATGGATTGTATTTTCGAAAAATAAGACGTTAAAATGACAGATACTTAACCTCAATTATTTGAGTTATTCAAATGTCAAAGTGGGACTTTTTGATGTGGAGCATAGTACCAATTATCTTAATTAAATAGGCATTTATTAGACTTGCTGTCTAAATTTAAGACTAAATTTTATTTTAAATTTTATATGACAAACATTTTCAAAAAAATATGCCACTACCTACTAAATTAATTTTATTTCTAGTATTTATCATGCAATACTTTTTTAATTTAATGTTTTATATGCTTATATTATATTTACACTTTTCTATGTAACAATGTAGCTTAGAAAATGTAAAATTTACATTTAGTATGTAATTAAACTTTGTTTGTAACAATTTAAAGTACAAGTTATTTTGTAAGCACTTATTTTATTTTACATTACTTGGCCATATGAATAAAGGATAGTTAGGATTTTTGTAACATCTGGCAACACTGAAGATCTTAACAATGCTTTATACATGAGGTCATTAATCATTAGGGGTTTAGAATTAATTTAAAAAGTATATTCATTATAATTGGATAACGCTAATTGAAAAGAAACCAACCATCACAAAAAATTCGTAAAGTATTTATATTATACAGGTTGCCCTGAAAATGGCTCACTAACAACTAACTTCGCGATTAAGGGGGTTATTTTAAGTATTATACAATATAATAATGTTTAGTAGTTTTTATAACAGTATATAATGAGGTTTATAAGATTAAATTTCATATTTGTTATTTTACTTCTTAATGTCCTACTTAATTTATATAAAAAACACACTTTTTAAGGACGTTTCAAAAATAAAAAGTAAACATTAATAATTATAATTATGACATTTTTAAATTTTTTTTTACACAAACTGAGAAAATACATCTGTCAACCATGTCAACCTCAACTGCCATATTTAAATTGTTGTCCAATGTCCATTGTTACTATTTTTCAGGCTTATGGGCCACACCGTTTTGACTAGTTTTTCAATCTTAAATGCTTAATAATTTAATAACTAATAGTCACATTTTTTATACTTAAAAGTTTAACTGCCCATGTATATTATTATATTACGTATTTAAAAGGCACAATAATTGTCAATGTGTTTAAAAATGTTTGAAACGACAGCTCAGAAAAATCTTTTGGCAAAGGGTTTCTTTTCAACAATCCAATACAAATTAAATACGAATTCCTCGCTTTGACTTATTTTAATTGTTTTTAAGGAATGTTGCAATGTTGTACATTGAATGAACTCATGAAGAAATCATAATTAAAAAATTATGTTTATTCAAGATATAGTATATTGTGGGACTAGTGGGAGAAAAAGGAGATTCCTTGAGCGTGGAGTGGAATCTCCTCTTTCGAACAATAGCGCACACAATTTTTTATTCAGCTACCGCAAGGAATTCAAAGCCAATTTTGTTTGATATTTTATCTAACATCTGACAACTGTCAAGCAATATTAACATCACTTTTTCCAATTTTTCTTCTGCTGGTGGGCGAAGTAAAGTTTCGCCCACCAGTTGAAGTTAAGAAATGAAATGAGTGTTGAATAAATTTATTTTGCACCACACTCTGAGTGTGGCACTTGGAATTGAGATATAATACACTCGAAAAAAATGAACAGAATAAGCAATTGAAGGTGTCAACGCAAGAAGTGCCTTAGTAACAAAAAGGTGATTCTGAGATATTATGGTTTGAAGGTTTATTTTATATTATGAAATATTACACAAAATATTATGATAACAATGTGTGTTGTATTGTATTCCTTCTAGAAAATGAATTGGACTTCCATGATTAAAAAAGAAAAAACGTTTTGTTATATCCAAAAAAATATATACAGGGTGTTTCAATAAAAACTCCCAGGCCAATTATTTCGAAAACTAAAAGTGACATTTAAATTCTGTAAACGTCAGTTTTTAGCCTCTATGATTGGCTTCACAACTGCGTGAAAAATGTTTTTGAATAATACAAGATGTAGGTGGCGCCACAATGCAAAGAATTTTTTCGATGGCAGCTACTTTTAAATTAATTTTTGATCAAATTATGTCCCATACCAATTTTTGATAAATTCTACATGAACTGAGATATTTGGGGTTAAGTTTTTTTTTAATAATTTTAACGAGTATTTTAATTATAAATATTTTTAATATACTTTAGCAGATGTTCATTTAATTCTGGTAATGATAATTTTAGTGATAAAACGCTCGTGTAGCGCTAACTAGATTAAAATTATTACGTCCAGTGACGCCTCAGGGGGCCCCTTAACAAATAATATTGGCAAAAAATAATATGCCACTGAGTGTCTGGTAATTTCTATATATTTTTCAGATTATTCAACTAAAAATATCCTTTTTTGTCTGTTGAATTGTTTTCATATCTTGCTTCGTTTTCGAGAAATAAAAATAAAACCATTTCACTGCATATCTCTGGAAAACAATAATCATTAAATAAAAACAAATGAATTTTAGAAACATCAAGTAAATTTTTCTTTACTTAGTGTCAGTGTAAGAATTTGCAATTTCTACATTTCTAAAATAAAAATGGTTCACCATACAAATCAAGACAAATTGAACATACCTACATGGTTTTAGTTTATGGAGAATGACATCAAAATGCTTCAGAAGCTGTGCGCTGCTATCGAGACCAACGCCAGATCGCAAATCTTTTGTAGCTTTGTGTACCAACTTAGCTTCATATGGTAGCTTTAAAAAGGAAACGGTTCCAAGAAGGAAGAGGGATACGACTGACGAAAATGTAGGTTTAGTCCTCCAATCAGTAAAAAATAACCCACAATCGTCATTACGAAAATTAAAAGATGAAACTAATATTCTAATATTAAAAGATGAAACCAATATTTCAGTAAGTTCCTAAAAGGAAATATGTTTTTTCCATACAAAGTTCATCTAGAGCATCATCTACAATAAGGAGATAACCAGCGCAGATTAAACTTTTTGACACATTTTCATATTCTTTTGGAAGAAAATCCAAATTTATTAAACCAAATTATGTGGAGTGACGAATCCCGGTTTTACAATAATGGAGTAATTAATAATCATAATTGTCGCTATTGGTCCCAGGAAAATCCTAACTGCATACGACAGACTAAATTTTAAACACGATTTGGGGTAAATGTTTCGTGCGGTATTGTAAATGGTTACATATTCGGGCCCTATTTGTACCATGAACATTTAACTTCAGTTCGTTATTGACGTTAATACTATGTGGTTTCATCAAGACGGTGCCCCAGCACACAATAGCAATATCGTTATGAATCATCTAAATGACAAGAAAAGTGATCAGCACAAATGAGGATCTTAGATAGCCAGCAAGGTCCCCTGACTTTTATTTATGGGGCGGCTTACAAAATGAAGTCTACAAGGAACCAATAGAAGACATGGCTGACCTTATTAGTTAGTTACACCTCATTCGACCTTATTAGTTAGTTTTTGGTATTGTTCTAATTTTCTTTAATAATTTTTTATAATTTCTTACCACTTTTTCATAAAATTTAAAACATCCTTTACTATAGCCGCTATTAATCAAAATACACTATTGAAAGTTTGCAGAACCGAATTATTATATCGATTTGATATGTGTGTATAAAAACGGCAATAATTTTGAACACCTCATTCGACCTTATTAGTTAGTTTTTGGTATTGTTCTAATTTTCTTTAATAATCTTTTATAATTTCTTACCACTTTTTCATAAAATTTAAAACATCCTTTAATTTTATTTTATTATGTTTTAATGTTTCACCTTTGTTTTTAAACAGCAAAAAATATAGCGCATTAATAATTTATGGTTTTGTTTCTTAATGATTTTTGTTTTTCAAATGGTTTTATTTGTATTTATCGAAAACGAAGCAAGATATGAAAACAATTTAACAGACAAAAAAAGGATATTTTTAGTTGGTTAATCCGAAAAAAATATAAAAATTACCAAAAACTCGGCGTATTATTTTTTGCCAATATTATTTGTTAAGGGCCCCCCTGAGGCGTCACTGGACGTTATAATTTTAATCTAGTTAACGCTACACGAGCGTTTTATCACTATAATTATGATTACCAGAATTAAATGATCATCTGCTAAAGCATATTAAAAATATTTATAATTAAAATACTCGTTAAAATTATTAAAAAAAAAAACTTAACCCCAAATATCTCCTTTCATGTTGGATTTATCAAAAATTTGTATGGGACATAATTTGATCAAAAATTAATTTAAAAGTTCCTGCCATCGAAAAAATTCTTTGCACAGTGGCGCCACCTACATCTTGTATTATCCAAACAATTTTTTTACACAGTTGTGAAGCCAATCATAGAGACTAAAAACTGGCGTTTACAGAATTTAAATGTCACTTTTAGTTTTCGAAATAATTGGCCTGGGAGTTTTTATTGAAACACCCTGTATAATAATTTGGGGCTTACGCACTTAATGTGTTGAAATTTTTTTATTTTGTAAAAAATTAAAGATTATATGGGCGATTGCACGCGCAATGTAATTTTTTCCATCAGTTTTAAGCAGGGCACAATGAAACAAAAATATACTAAAGTTAATCATTAATGATGAAATTTGTTGAAAAAACTAAAAATGTTTATCTCAGGTACTTATTATTTAAAAAAATATGGTCAAAAATAAGCAATTTTCCGATGTTAAAATTTATATGCAAAGTAGCATTTTAATCAAGGTGGCTTTGACCTATAACAGTAAGTGACGCTTCCGAAAACGTCCGTTTTGATTAGACGCCACTATTAGTGAACATATTACTGAATATTTTTTTTGCAAGTAAGTAAACTGTTCTAGAAATTAAAATTTATAATATTATTGTATATTTGTCCCATCAGTAACGAAATTATATGATAAGTTTTAATATCGCAAGTATGCAACTTGCCCAGATTTTAATTAATATTAAAAATGTTTGTCCCTATTTCACATTTGCTTACGCGATAAAAATATATTGGTTTGCTGTCCAAGATTTTTGTATTTCTTTTTTTTTAAGTTGGTCCCGTCAGTAACGAAATGTGATAATTTTTAGGATGGCAAAAAAAAACGTGCTTGACAAAGAAAATACGAAGCGGCGGGTTAAAAAATATCGCAAAAAAATTTATGAAAATCCTGTTTTAAAAAAGACTTACTTGTCTAAAAATGCTTCAAGCGCAAAAAAGTACAGAGAAAAATTAAAAAAGTTGGCGGAAAATGATGGTGGGTTTAAAATGCAGCAAAAAATTATGAAAGAGAAAGGAAAAGAAAGTTTAGAGAAAATAAAAAGCAGCAAACAAAAAAAACAAAAAAATTTGAATACCTGATATATTAAGTTCACACTATTTTAAGTTTGTTGATGGTACTCATATGTTGATTAAGAAGCACTATGAATCCGAAAAATCAAATTTGTTCAAATGCTTTTAAATTTTTTGCAGTTGTTATTATCATGTTAAAATTATTTTTGAAGTTATTTAGTTAAATTAACCAATTACACATTTGTTTCAGTGTATAATAAGTAATAATAATAAATGTCCCATCAGTAATGTCCCGTCAGTAACGAGAAATCAAAATGCATTGCCTACATAGATTACACTGAAAGATGAGTGATGTCAAAATAAGTTATACTAACTGCATCTGCAACTTGGTTCATCTATACTTTTCTTCAACATTATTCTGTTTCAGAGAATTATTCTCTTCTAGTAACCAGAAATTTTTTTGACCTTTTTCTTGTCCCATCAGTAACAACATTTTATTGATTTCTAGTTCGTAAAATAAAAAACATTTTAATAGCTCTGATACTGAAAATTTTACACAAACTATAGCTTTAATAGTTACCCAAATATTACCGTCATTAGCCCATTACTGATAGCAACAAATATCAAAAAATAGTTAAATTTTTTTCCGATTGTCCCATCAGTAACGTGTGCAATCGCCCATATTAAGGAAAAAATTGTTTATACTTAAAAAAAAGGTTTATTATATAACGCCGTAATAAAGTACATAATGTGTGAACAAAACTTAAGACTACATAAACATAATATGAATGACAAGAAACGCTTACAGAAAAAGATTACATCATGATAAGAAAAACTTAACTTAACAAAACTAAGAACATAATAAGAAGGCAGGCTATTCATAAACAGCGTCGGCCTCTTGTAACTGATCAATTTCTTTAAGTGGCATTATTTTGCTGTATTATATTCCCATTTTCAGGCAAGGTTCGAGCAAAAAAAAAAACGGTTACTAGTATGTGTTAAGGTAACACAATCTAGTTTATTTTACTTAACTTACCTGCCATAGTTATGTTTTTAATCAGACCCAAATTATTAGGATTTACACAGTTTAATAGGTAATTTGCTCAGATATAACCTAATTTAAATAACGTGGACTAAGGCACATGTTGCATCTGTCAAAATGATGACTTAGGTACTTCTTGCATTGAAAACCAGGTAAACTTCCATTGAAGTAAATGCAAACTAAGGCACTCTGCAAATACCACCTGAAAGCTTGGATAAAACACTTTTAGATAGAGCCACAATGTCAATTTCATTGAAAATGTGACTTAGGCACTTCTTGCATTGACCCCTTCAATTTTGAAACTATTTAAACAATGAATATATTGTTCCACTAGCGGACAATAAAAAAGAAGCAGAAAAAGAAGACAATAATTGAGGTATTATAATAGTTCCATGCCGGCAAAAGAAATTAGGCAAATCTTCCAAACGAACTTTTTCAGAACATTTATTTCTGCTGATTTTTAAAGTGCAGTATATTATTTCGGGCCTAAACGAATGTTCGGTCAAAATCTACAATTTTCTCCACTCGTTGCACATTATACCCGCAAGAAATATAGTTCTTTAATTGTTCAAAATTCTTGTTAACACTGTACAATGTACATTCTTGCGTTAGTTGAATAAACTATTGTGTGTGACGCTCTAGAAATCTTCTCTTTCTCCCACTAATCGCACAAAATACTATTTCTTTGGTTTGAGCAGATTAGCTTATTTACTTTTTGTAAATTTTGTACATTAGTTTTGCTTAAATTAATAACTACTTATGTTTTTTTTGACAATTATTAAGTATTATTGATCTCAAAATGAGGCTAATGTTTTCTACATCTCAAATATTTAATTTTTCATTTAAAAAACCGTATTTTTATATTGTTTTTAGTTCAACTTTTTATTAAAAATTAACAATAAAAACCGTATAGTTTTTTAGTAAAAACCAAAGCACTAGAGATCAGTATTATTTACTGATTATGTAAACAAAAGTAATTTTCTTATGTATTAGTTTAAGTTTAAAATGATATTATTTAAATCTGAATAAAAATTTTACTTGAGAACTGGGTTTAAATTAATTTTTAGTATTGTACAATTTCGAAAAATCATATTTACCAAAAAAATAATAATTTTTACGACAAGCACACAAAAAAATTCAAGAACTTTGTATTTTCCCGCGCTAAAATTGAGTCTGCACTTGAATTCTTTATAAAAACTCCTGCTTGTTTGAAAAAATAAGAAAACAAAAATGCTTTAAGAAAAGTGACCAAATATAGAATACCAGCATTTCTCCAGAACAAACACTTTTGTTGCAAAAGTGTTCTATTTTTTCGACGATAGAAAATTTTTCAAGGTATTTTATTAGTTGAATATAATATTGTAATTATGTTAGCATGTTTGTACATTTTATGATTTATTATTTCATGTGTTGTGTTTGTGAAGTACAAAAACAAATTGAAACCGATCTAAAATTCCAAATATATTTGTGCTCCAATTTTAGTGAATAAACAAGTGTACACAAAAGTTTGTGCTAAATTTTTTGTTGCATTGCTGATTATTGATCAAACAATAGCTATGGTAACAAATGGTGTTGCTATATAAACACATTTGACGTGTTCATTATTTGACATTGACAGTACTGCATGGATCATTTCTTTTTACATTTCATCAAGACATGGTAAGCGGAAAAGAGTTTAGAAGTAGCTTGCGAAAACCTTTGCCGGGGACTAAGAAGCAGAAAAAATGCAGAATAGTACCGGCGTTCACAATTCAGGCAATGCAAAACAATACGTGTGTTTTGCCCCCTGCTAAATGCTCGTTCAAGGAGAAACCCACAAAGGTTTTTAAGTTTCAAGATAATTACAAAAGAGGTAACCTGCCCATTGCTAAACAGGCCGTTGGTAATGGACTTGTGTGGAAGGTAAAATTTTTTAACATTTGTATTTTTGATTTCTCTTAAAAAATCATTCTAAAAACGGTGTATATGAAAATTACATTTTTCTATAAATAATAATATATATTTTTTATCTTTGTAAAGAACTTGGGGACAAACTGTATATTTCTAAATTTTTAAAGCCATATTTAAAGTCTAAATATGCCCAATTTTTTATATCGTTTTAGGCTGACATAACAAAGCTAGATTTTCATTATTACCTACCAATGTTTTTTGAGGGCCTTGTAGAAACCGAGGACCCCTATAAATTATTTGCCCATCAAGCAATCCATGACATGTTGATACAGGGTGGTTCTAAAGCGTTTCCCTGTATACCGCAACTGATTATACCTATCAAAGGTAAAAAAGCATTTAAAAACATCGAAATTATTTATTTAGTTATATTTTTTTAGATGCTTTAAATACAAGAAATAAATCCATCATGATAGCAACTTTGAAAGTTGTACAAGAATTGGTCACTTGTGCTGATATGATTGGCGAGGCATTGGTTCCCTATTATAGGCAATTATTGCCGGTTTTAAACATTTATAAAGACAAAAATGGTAAGAATTTTACATTCTTTACCATACTGGGTATACTGAAAAAGCTTTAACCCTATAAACTATAAGGTTGGGTTGCCAGAAATTCAAATGTTGTAAGAGGAATTACTTAACTAGTAAATATAGAAGTTTAAAAAATATATAGAAGATTTAAATAAATCATTTAATTTATTAAAAATACTATTTCATTAAATTAAAATACCTATCAAATAAAAATTATATTTTATTTTAATATAAACCGGACATTGCTACAATATTTTTTTAACAACAATTTTGCTACAATATTTTAGGAACAAAGAAGATTGAAGATTTTCGATATTAAATTTAAGACCTGGCAACCCTACTATTGTCCTTTTAACAGAGTGTTAATGAAAAAGTTATATAAACATTGTGCAAAAAACAACTTCTTAGAGCTATAGACCCCCTTAAAATTTTAGGTCTGTCCTGAAAATGTTTTTCTCGATTTTTATGTAAGAATGTCATATTCTCGCACGCAAAATCGTTGAAGAATGAAGCTCATTCTTAAACGATTTTTGGTAACATTTAGTTTTTAAGTATTGGTACCCCCAAAATGTCAAACTGTTTAATAACCTCAAATTCATTACTTTTAGGATTATTTATAATAGCTTTGTTTGTTATCCTGCACTAGTGCAACCTGAACTACACTTTTATTGAAAATGAAGCCTTTATTATTGTTTTGTTATATTAAGTTTGCTCCAACAATGCATTTTAATGCAAAATTAATTAAGTTTAATGTGAAAAAGTGCAGTTCAGTGGTACTTGTGCAGGATAACAACTATTGACAAATAAATGAGCCAGACAGGTCAATCAAACTATATTTTATTGGAAATATTATATACCCACAGTACACAAAACACAAAACTACTATAAATTAATCACTAGCACAATTGTTATAAACTTTTATTGTAATGTTCAGTGTTGCTTGTAAAACCTCCTGTGACATTTTTTACTGCTAAAAGTAAACACAATTGTTCAAAAATATCAGAAAACATTAAAAAATAATACAATACTTACACAAAACCTTATTATCCAGTTGACAAATACAGACAGATTATAATAATTATTAATAAATAGTAAATAAAAATAAATCTACCTGTCCATGCAACTGTCATTTTGTGTTGCCAACTGACATTTTGCGAGAAAAATCCCCCAACTAACAACGACCACAAAACATTTAAAAAAACCTAAATAAAAGTTAAAATCGAGAAAATAGTATAAATCACACGTTGCAGAAGGCTATTCTCGCACTCATTCGTTCGTCCACTCGCTCCTTCGTCGCTCGAGGCCAAATTTCGAATTCGTGCGAGAATATGTGGCCTTCTGCAACTTGTACTTTAATATACTATTCTAAATATTTTTAAAACCTGGAAAAGTAAAAGAGTGTAATTTAATATGAATATCTAACATTTTATACCAAACTTACTGTAAATAAAATAGAGTTAAAATTTTCTCAAGAGCCATCCCAATTATGCCCTTTTGGATCAACAGTATTAAATAGTATTTTTTTTATGTAAACAAAGGTCGTCTTGTCTCAACCCGATTAGAAGCAAGTTTTTAAAGGTTCGCCAATGAACATTTTTTTTAAATTTTGAACATCTCCAAAATAAAGCGGTTTTGGATCGAAGTTTTTATAAACTTTTTTCCTTAAAATAATTTAAGTATGTTTTTATTGGAAGAGCTACAAGTTCAGTTAATGAGTTAAAAGTTACCTAATTACAAGTCTATTAAAATGGCATTTTAAAATTGGAAAAAAATGTGTGGTTCATAAATAATTTTAAAAAAACTAAAAACCTGTCATAAAAAATCGTTATAACTAAGTTTTACATGTAAACATACAAACATATAGTTTTTGATTTTTCCCCTATGGTCGCCATATTGGAATTTTACATGGTTAGATAAAAATTATTATTGTACAATATTAAACATAGAAATAATACTATTATATAATAATATATATTATATAAGTTATGGTGACCAACCGTCCTGGTTTATCCAGGACAGGTTCTGGTTTTTGCTTATGCCCAAGTAGCACAGTTATATGATTTGTATATGAATTTCATATACCGACGGAAACAAATGGAATCTGAATATCATATGAATTTTTATGATATTCAGGTCAAGGGCATATCCTATGCACATGAAAATGGTAAGGTATTTCAGCTGCATATCATGTGAATTTGGCAGTCTTTGGAATATGATAGAGATATATTTTTCATTGCGTATGGAATATTACAATCCTGTTTCAACTTCAGGTAACAGTGCAGTTTAATATATAAATATATATTATATATATTAAATGCATGGTGTCCCACAATTATTGCGAAAAAATAAAAGTGTATTTTCTGCAGACCCTCAGAAATTACAGACAATTTTTAAAAATATTATTCCTTTATTATTTAAATAGATACAGGGGATCTTCTACTTCCAAATTTGGAATCCAAATCTTCACTAGATCACAATACACACTAGATATTAAAGAATTTATAGAAAAACGAAAAGGCACATGGCATAGCCGGCTCAAATCGCGCAACAGGTTCACTAATGGCGGCCAAGTCGCGTTAGCTTGTAAAGATGTCGAAAGACTCGAAGATTGCGAGAGAGGACGACGCTCAACGAAGCAATCCGAATCAGAAAATTACATTAAACCGCGAAATTTAAAATTTTAGAAATTATAAATAATTTTGTTATTAATTATTATTGTTCCCTGCATGGTTTATAGCAACAATTAAGTATTTACAATAGTTATTAGATAATAATGATTATTATTTGATACATAAAATAATAATTATTTTGATTGTAATCTTTTTATAGAGATGAAGAACTGGATTTTTTTAAATATTTGGCGCAAAACTTGACAAAAACATTTTTTTAAAACCTATATAATACATTGTATTATATTATAACTATTATATTATGTAGCTGACAGATATATGTCACCTTTCATCATAGGACAGGTGACAGATGACAAGTGACAAATGACAGGTGGTAAATGACAGGTGACAAATTACAGGTGAAAGTTAATTAAAGTTGTTACTTTGCATCATAATTATGTTAACTGGTGACAAATTAGCCCGGATCCGATTGCGTCTGTCGACAGACGCAATTAGGATGTTAACAGAATTCTTGAGATGTCGTGTAATATTTGTGTTTCGGTATAGGTACATGATATTCTTAGGAACAGCATAATCTGTTTTTCATATGCTTTCGATAATATGACAGGAACATGAATACCACCTCAGGTATATACTAGACATATCGGGAAGGTCTGGAGCATATGAATATCATATACTGTGCTACTTGGGTGTGTCCTGGTTTTAATTATGTACTGGTTTTGCCCTGGTTTGCAGATTTGGTCCTGGTTTATACTATTTTTTTTTATTATTGACGTTAATAGCAATATTCTTTTTAAAAGTAGTCGGGGCTCAGGTTAAAAAGTAATTTAGAAATCTGATTTTTTTTTAAATACTAAACATAAAATAAAATAAATTTTGTTTATTTTTTAACCCTTATGCAGGCGCACCTCTTTATGCAACGTAGTAGGTCGCGCGGGGTGTCAGAGACACCCCGTCCCAGAGTGTTATTTACATTTTTTTTGTTTTTTTTTAAGGTTATCAAGTTAAGATGAGCTGAGAGACAATGAGAACATATTTCGTTGCGTTCAAATTTGATAAAAGATGACAAAAAAAAGAAAATGTCAAAAGTTGACAAATTTTAATCAAATAAAGCATTTATTAAAAAAAACAAATTTTAAAAGTCATAATAATAATAAAAACAAAAAAAACACTAAGCACTTAAGATAAGGTTTACTTTTACAAGTAATTATGATTTGGTAAAAAAAAGTCAATAGGGAGGCGAAACCCAGCCTGCTCACGGGGTGTCCACAGCACCCAGAGCCTGTTTAAAACAAAATACCAGACAACCTATTACATTAACTTCAAAATCGGCAATGTAATACAGTGGCGGCTCGTCAGGGTAGGCCTCTGAGGCCGCGCCTCACCCTTAAAATGAAGGAACGAACGACTTTTTGTATTTAGCTTTTTGCCTATTACAAGTGTACTTTTACAACAGTTCTACCCAATAAAAAGTAAAAAACCAATCAATAATACTAAGCGTAAATAAAAATCCAGGCGCAAAGCGCGTCAAGTTGAGAGAAGCCAGACAGAGGCGAAATTTTCACAGCCTCGGAAGCTCCCATTTACCTCTAGAAAGCGAAAATGACTCACCAACTAAAGTTCGCGAATAAACACCGTAAATTCAGCCGTAGATGAGGCCACAATCCACACAATGTGTGGATTGTGGATGAGGCGACATAAAGTTAGCTAGACGACACTAAAAATCACGGAAACCTCGGAAGTATTCGGCTGTTTACGGAGAGCTTCGGCGGCTGACGTCATTCATTTCAAATTAATGAATCATTTGCGCCAAAAAACGGTTATTTCATAACCTCAAATTGATGTTATTGCTTTTATTCGTTTTTTTTATTCAGATAGTATATCTCTGTTTATTAGAAGGCTTTGTTTATTATAAGACTATTTTTTTTATTAGTAAATGTGTTTTAAAATCCAGAGAGGTCTGACAATAATTATTGGCGATTCCCGTGTTATTAGGCATTGTTGTGTACTTATAATAAACTGGAAAAACATTTGGAGGTAAACCATTAAATAAAAATAGAAATGCATACATATAATTTTGCAACGAGAGAAAGTTATGAACTGTGGTTTGATCAACAGAAAATTGAGACAACTTATGCATCGGGCAGATCAAAAAGATCTAATGATTATTTAGAAAAATCCTACACTTGCAATTGTAGTAATTCAATAGGTAAAATATTAAGTTCACCTTTTATTACTTTATTTTACAAAATATTTCTGTTATCCTCAGGACATGGCAGCAATTGTTCCAAAAGAACGGAGAAGGCTGGTGGTTCAATTAAATTGTATGGAGTATGCCCGCCCATCTCATTTAAATATAAAGCTTTGGAA